TCCCTCTGAAACCTCGCACCAGATAAAATATAAAATTACCGGAAATGCAACTACAACAATCATATGACCCCCTCAACCCTATGAGCAAATGTTTTGGTGACAGTGGGAAGGAAAAACTCCCTTTTAACAGGAAGAAACCAGGTTCAGTGTAAACATCAGATCTGAATATTGTAAATACACTGAAATCCGAGTTCTTTGCATTTTATTTTCCACCCTTTTTCTTTTCCTTCTTCACTCTCTCATCTCTCCAGAGTGCTCTCACGCTGTCTTCAAACTGTATGTAACAGGATCTAATGCACACATCCCTTACACTGTAGCTGTCTTGTTAATCATGCATTTATTGCATCTATCGAACACGAGAACCTGACAGTCACCTGTTATTTCTACTCGGCTGTTCCACACGGGTCAGACATTTAGGAGTGTGCATATATGGCTGTTAGTAGCATGAACATGTGTTCACCTGTGCAGGAGGAGAACTCTTTATGCAGCTGGAGAGAGAGGGCATCTTCATGGAAGACACAGCCTGGTGAGCACGACGACGCACTGAAACACAGATTGCAGGATGAAATGTTCGGATTGGTTAAAGATGATGTAATATCTCAGAGACCTCTGTTATAGATGTCGGCAGTCTGAATGAGTTCTGTTACACTGCAGATAAGCATAAGTAGCAAAATATATGCTTTGTCTTTTCTTGTCTGACGGCTCAGATGCAATGTGGACCTCAGACCGGCTTAAAGTTTTTCTCTTTCTTTAGTTTTTACCTGGCAGAGATCTCCATGGCTCTGGGTCACCTGCACCAGAAGGGCATCATCTACAGAGACCTAAAGCCCGAGAACATCATGCTTAACAGCCAAGGTGAGACGGGAAATGGCTAAAAAAAAAATCAAAAATGACCTTAAGATTTATAATGGCAGTTCTTTTTCAATATATATGTTAATGTGAGGCTAATGTTTTCCTCAAAGGTCACGTAAAGCTGACAGACTTCGGGCTGTGTAAAGAATCCATTCACGACGGCACGGTCACACACACTTTCTGTGGCACCATTGAATATATGTGAGTACACTTCTTGTTTTTAATTAATCTCTTATCCAGCAATGAGAGTCGCTCTTCGTGGCCGCTTGATGATCTTTGCTAAGTAATATTGCTGCACCAGTAATAAGCACTCGCATTATCACAGGGCTCCAGAGATCCTCATGAGAAGCGGGCACAACAGAGCGGTGGACTGGTGGAGTCTGGGCGCTCTGATGTACGACATGCTCACAGGAGCGGTCAGTTAAACATTAACAGCCTGGAAAGAAAAAAAGCTTTCTCATTGGCTCTTATTAATGGACTGTTATAAAATATGAATCCACATTAGCGACGGTAGAGTAACCTCAGCTCCATCTTTTACTGCAGCCGCCTTTCACTGGTGAAAACCGAAAAAAGACAATTGACAAGATCCTGAAGTGTAAGCTCAGCCTCCCGCCGTACCTCACACATGAAGCTCGAGACCTCCTAAAAAAGGTATCTAGAGGTTGTTTTTTTCCCTCCTGTTAGTTTGTCTTGTTATTGTCTTCTTATTTTTATTTCTTACTTTTTTGCAGTTGCTAAAGAGAAACGCTTCATCGCGCCTGGGAGCAGGAGCAGGAGACGCTGCAGAGGTGCAGGTGAGAATATGCAGCTGGATGTCGGCGATGAGTCGCACCAGCTCTGCCATGAACTACTCAGTGCTCATCTATAGATGCAGAACACGCATATTCCATCTGTTCATTGCACTTTGTGCGTGGTTGTGCCATAGAGTCATACCTTCTTCCGACACATCAACTGGGAGGAGTTGCTGGCTCGGAAAGTGGAGCCTCCCTTCAAGCCTTTTCTGGTGAGTACTCGAGCGGGAAACTGCAAGAAGTCCTCGACTTAAGTTTCAAGTTACGTTTCGGGAATCGCAACCTCTCCTGTTTCAGACGCGCTCGTGTTGCTGTACCCCCTCACCTGCGTGTCCTCTCTTCTGTCTTCGCAGCAATCGGCTGACGACGTGAGTCAGTTTGACTCAAAGTTCACCAGTCAGACGCCCGTCGATAGCCCGGATGACTCGACCCTCAGCGAGAGCGCCAATCAAGCCTTCCTGGTAACTCCTGACTTGGGCTCTGTTAGAGTTTTCAGTACTCAATCCATATGCAGCATCTCTTAAGGCTCAAAGGAGGACAGTAAGGTGTCATCTTAATGATTTCTCAGTTGTTTTAGGATTTAATGGTAAACTGTAAAGATTATTAATTATCACAGGGCAGAAATAAATCTGAGACTAACAGTCGCTGCACTTGGCTCGTTAGTAAACGAGGATTCCTCTCATTAGTTTTGTCCTGAACACGACTTCATCTCCCCTGACCTGTTTCTTTCCCTGCGATTTAGGGTTTCACATATATCGCTCCGTCGGTCCTGGAAAACATCAAAGAAAAATTCTCATTTGAGCCAAAAATCCGCTCACCCCGACGCATCACGGACAGCCCAAGGACACCGCTCAGGTAATGTCAGCGTGAGAAACGAGCATGTTTGTGTTGCGACGGACGGTCCTCGGGCTGATGCCTCTGGTACAAATGCTTTTCATACAGAAGCAACATTTCCCAGATGTCATACCGCACTAAAAGCATGTTTTTTAGATAAAATGATCACTTATGGTCTTTAGATATAGTGCAGATTCTCAGTCGGCAGTTAGCTTAAAAAGAAGTTAAAATAAATATAGTTAACATTTTATTTTGTAAATTGTGGTGCTTTTATTATAAAATTAGTGGCATGATGTCCTGTGATAAGAGGCAGCAGATCATAAGTCCTGCATGTTCCAAGGTGAGTCGGCCTGAAGCTCAGGAATTACGTTTGGGAACACAAGTCAGTCCTGACCTAAGTGACTGTGACATGAGCTGCATGAAACATCAGGTTGTTGCTCCCGAAGGAGTTTCTATAAGTTCCTAAATTCAAGAACTTACTGTGTTTTTCCAGCTTGGAGTCAGTTTTTACTCAGTGAGTTCAATAAAGACATGAAAGGTCCAGCTGACCTCATGTGTGTTAGTTTAGTCCGATGGTTTTAAGACTGCATCTGTTACTTAGATGAAGATCACACCACACTTTGACAGTAGTCGGTGCTGAAATCCTGCTGATTCTCCAGGGTACAAATACTTTTTCTCAGATCTCTCTGGATTCTGAGGAAGCTCGGATCTTTCAGTGTGTGCCGCAAGATGCTGGATCTTGTACCAGTCTGCATATTTAAACCAGTGAAGGGCAGGAGGTCACTGAGCAAACTTAGTGATGTTCTCCATCTCATCTGCTCGACTCCACACTCCTGAGGTTCTCCCTCAGACAGTAAAGAAACATCTGTCTCTATAGATCACTGTGTACATGGTATTGCGAGTCTCAATCATCTTTTTTTTGTTCTCCATCACAATATTTCATCAGTTCAGCTGATAAAATCACTTGTTCTTGTCACTGTGTCTGAAATTTGCCCTTTTTCTGCTGTTAAAATACAGAAAATAATCAATCTGCCGTTTTTCATTATTCACCTGTTTCTCCTCTGTGCTTTCAGCCCGGTCAAGTTTTCAGGGGGGCACTGTTGGCATCGGAGCCCCCTCGTTCCCAGCGGTGGACCCGGTGTCCTCCAGTCTCCTCAAGACCAGGCCATGGAACTGTCCACCCCAGAGCAGATGGACATCACAACCAGCGCCGAGGCGTCGGCCCCTCTCCCCATCCGTCAGCCTGCTGGGATCAACCTTGCTCAGATGAAGCAGCAAGCCTATCCTGTCATGGCCAAACGGCCCGAGCATCTACGTATGAACCTATGACCCCGCTGCCACTGTTTAGGAGAGTATATTTCTTGACTGTTTTTTTTTTCTTCCTCCCACCAATGTTATTTTTTTAAGAAACAAAGCAAAAAGAAATGGATGCTAGAGACAATGAAAATCCAAAATTGCACATCCACACACTACATATACTGTCAGAACCTGGAGTTTGTGCGTGCATTTGGGACTCCGGCGTGCTATGGTTAAGTGCTACAGACAATATCACGTCTCACCACTTCCAACACCTCAGGTCTGTTGACCTTCATCTTCTACCCCGACCCCACCCCCACTCAAATGGACTACAACAGGAGATGTTTGGAGGAGCTGCAGCCTGTAACGTGTCTCACAGTATGCAAGCAACTCAAACTGAAATGCAGTCGGCTAGAAGATATCCAAAGTGCTTTACGCTGTTTAAAAGTGGGGGGAGGCGAGCTTCTTCTATTGGAAGAATTTGGAAAGGCCTTCTCAGATAAAATGCTTCCTGTCTCTGAGTGAAAAGGTATGAATTTATTTTAAAAAAAGAAGGATTAAGGAAATTTTCTTTGAGTAGCAGACAAGAGGCAGCTCTGGTGATGATGAATATAGCTTTGTCTTAATAAACGCATCCATGATGAACCAGAGAGCCTCGATTCAAAGGAGTAAAACCCCTGTTGACTTTTACAATCTTTGAGCGTCGGTGTTATGGATGACGTGTGAAATGGTTCATTTGGCGTGGGATCCCTCCCTCAGTTATCCACTCTTCAGGCACTACCACACTATGGGTTGTATCACTGGGGTTAGCCGGCACGTCATCAGGTACACGAGCCTCATTCAGCATTAGCGTGAACCACTGTCTCTTCCCCTACCGTCACACAAAACATCAAACTGATTTCGGTGCTGCTTTCTTTGACCCACCCTCCTCAGTCTTACACCCAGCAGGAGATGCTGTGCCCCTGATATTTTCCGGACGTCGGACCTCACCTGACCCGTGGAATGATTCACATCGGAGACTGCGGCACCAGTTGATCTGGACTGTCTGCCGTTTTTATGCTCCAAAAGCCTGGAGCAGCATTTACAGCCTCCTTGCCTCTGCATTAACTTGTTAAGGAGCAACGTTTTAGAAATCTCGGAAAGCAAGAAAAATTATAAATAAACTGTAAAAGAAATACAAACTGCCGTGTCGTGTTTTAATTTCAAGAAAAACACCGGGAGACCTCGTATGTTTGCATATCGTTTAATTACAAAGTTGTGCTGCGAGCACATTTGAATGTATCACCAGACATCTGATCAGTTCTTTTTCCTTTTGTAACTGGAGATTTGAACTCATCACAAACACAAAAGGTGCAAAGTAAAAAAAAATAATAAAGTAATTTAAAAAAAATTAATTATTTTAAAGATGGAGACTAGCTTATCAGGAAATAATCTGAAACCTCTACTAAAAAAACTTCACACTTTACTGATTCCCAAACAAAATCAAAACAATCACAGCGCCCTGATAATGCTGAAAAAGCTGAATCTCAGCTGTTTAAAAAAAAACAAAAACATGGCCACAAATGAACATGAAAGGCCCCACGGTCATTTGAAGTGGTTCATTTAATGTAAACTATGAGGGACTGAACAAAAACGTGGGAAAAAAAACCTATAAAAACGCAGTTTACAAAACCATTTGAGTTCAAAGGTAGCCGTACCCTCACACGAACCCTGATTGTGCACTTCTGCTTTTCTATCTGACACAGTCAGACTTTTGAGTGCTGGTTTCAGAGAAATTCATTCATGAATGTGTGTACAGTATGAAAAACATCAGAAAAAACACACTCGTCAACTTTCACTCCAAAGGCTGCTGGTCTGAGATCTGAATTGTTTGGTGGCCATTAAATTCTTTTCATTTCTTACAGGCAACGGCAAGTAAAACCCTTATCTGCCTGCTACAAATATGTAATGATAAAAACTTGGGAATGAACCACCTGCCAAAGAGATACACTTCCACTCTTGGGCTTGTGAGATCACATTGAAACTTTTTTTTAAGGAAAGCATATCTGTGTATAGCTCTTCAAATGAAGCATTATATAATAATTTCTCATAAACGTATAATTTTCAGTGGAATATCTACACAGGCATATAGAGGACATTTTTACCAACCATCAATGCTGTATTCCAGTGTTCACGAATGTGTCAAAAAAGCTGATTGATGATAAAAAAATAAACTTCTTCCAGTGATGCTGTCACAGCTGAAGAACACTTGGCTATAGTGTTACTTATAGTCTCAAAATGGTTTTAATGCAACTATGTGTACTACTCCCTTCAAAGAGCTGAGTGTAATGGAAAGAGGCGTGAGAGACCTCTGTGCACAGCTGAGTACGAGTACATCAGTGGGTCTAGCTTTAAAAAAAACAAAACGGATGTCTCACTGGTCCTTGATTGGCCGCTTAGTTAGAAAGTACTCATCAGAGCTACACTGTCTTGATCCACGCTCAATCATCCAGGTAAGTAAATCCCAGAAAGTTGATTCCGTTAATCTGGAAGCTGTATTTTTGGTGTCATCCAAGGGACTTCTTCCATCTCGGCTACATTTGCATGATAACTGAAGCTAGCACCACTGACTAACAATGACCAACGCCATTTTTCTGGGCCATGAGAGCTAGGCTGTGCTTGTTTGAGAAGGGAGTAGTACACACTGTAGCTCAAAAACTTATTCAAACAAACAAGGATGCTGTGATGATGTCTAAAAATTATTTCTTATTATTTCTTTTCAAGTTAGATGAAAAAAAGTGCTTTTCCTGCAAAAACAAGGACCTTTCTAAGTGACCACAAATTTATTATAGCAAAAGCTGACCGTACTGTCCCAGCAGGTGCACTCAGCTAAGAGATCCTCGATATGCACTGCAAATGCAGACAGATTTATAGTTAAATGCCTACATCAGGTTTAATATGTGCTGCATCAATAATCTATAAATCTGGAGAATGCAGTCTATTATTATCTGGGGCCTGGCTGAATACTGAAGCATGCCAAGTATACTGTCCGGTGAAAAACCATACCAGCTGTCTTTGGAAGCTTAAAACACCTTCACCTGGCAGACTCTACTAAAAACCTAAATGATCCAACAGTGAAGAGTGGCACCGACCAACAATGCAATTCCATTTTTAATTGGTCCTTATTTAAGAAACACATTTATAAAGCAGTTTAGATCTCACATATCTCACTTCATGTAACCACAGATGGTTCGCAGTATGCAATTTAGAGTCTTCATAAGGAATATGCACATAGCTGCCCAATCAGAAAAATAACTGGCGTATGAAAGCAGCCATATCGTTAAGTGCAGCTTTCTAAATGACAGTAGATTTGTGAAAACGAGTATTCTTCATTGTAACTTCATCTGCAAATAACTAATATTCCCTGCCTTCATTTTTTAACTACAGTGCAGCTCAGACTAAGCGATGGTTTGTTTTTTTTGAGAAGACTTAAAAGCTAAATAAGGCACAAATTACTTTACTGGAAAAAAACCTACTCAGAAAGTCATTTTAAGAAAATATTGAGGGAGAGGTAATTTAGCTGGATTACTACACGGACTGAGTTAAACTGCATATACTTAGGTCAGATTAAGTGCTTCTGCGTATCCTGACTGTCTTTCCCTCAAGTATCCTTTTAACATAGACCAAACAAAGTTGTGGCAGGTGAACGAGTCTGTCTAAAGTTCTTCCTTTACAAGATTTCTTCTGTGAAAGGTTTAGAAAGGATGATGTGCTTCTGCCATTTAGGGTAAAAAAAAAAAGAAAAGAAAGAAAAACTGCACAGAGCAGCATAGCCTGGCCATCCAAGCACATTTAAACGAACCCAAAACATGACCTAATCTTTGACTGAGCTCTTTTTGGTTAAGCGATTTCAAGCAGCAGGATATATATGAGAGCCAAATCAAGATAACTTTGTAGCTATAGTCTGAGGGTTGTTTCAGTTTTGAGTACAATATAATTTACTATTAGTGAGATTAATGACAAAAGACGAAAATAGTGAATATCTTCACGTATGTATAAATCAGCGTGACAGAAGCAAAGCGTGGGGGTAAATGCTTTCTGAATGTAGCAGCTAGAGCAGGGCCGGAGACACGGGATGTGTGAGGATGGAAGTAGTTCAGCAGTTTTTGGTGTAGTAAATGAAGATCAAGTGAACCAAAGAGTGCCTGCGGTGTAGCTGATAGCGCTTTCTCCTCAGTTCACTCTGCACTTCCATGCAGCTGGGCTCTGCTCCTGCAGACGCCTCATTTTCTTCCCTAACCACACCCACCAGGCTAAACCCATCACAACACAGACCACAGACTCCACGTAGTAACCGTCCAGTGTTGTCACACAGACGCCGCCTTCCTTCACACACAGCTAGAGGTTTGAACATGAGAGAAAGAATTATTTGAACTTTTAGAGCATTATAGAAGAGAACACACACCATCTTGCCCCATCCTCATCCTCTGATCACTTACCAGAGCCTCTTCAGAAGAGCCGCAGCTCTGCCCAGCAGCCCCCTGGCATTCCTTAGAGGTCAGTGGATCGACCAGCCACAGAGCCACAGTGGAAGGCCAGTTTCCTCCGAGGTTAGTGACCGTGTTCAGCAGGGTCATGTAGGTCCCGCCGATAAGGGGGTCACTCACTTTGGCATGGAAAGCCATGCAGGCCACGTACATGCTATACAACGCAACCTGGAGAATAATAAACAAAAAACAGGAGATTAACCAATTTCTTTCAGTCTACTATAACCTGATTTTTCTTGCTTAATTATCTTATTAATTCAGTTTTGTTGGCAAATTTCTAAAGGACTGCAGTCCTGTATAGTGTTTCTTCAGGTAGGCCATCAAATCCTCAACTGGCGAATCAGCTAATGATTCACCTGGAACTTCTTCTCATCCAGCACATCCTTGTCACAAGGGGGCAAGCTCTGCATGTCGGATACCCTTCCTGACAGCCGCAGAGGGGAGTGTCTCTGTCGGTGGACTTGACCAGCGGCCTTTTGCTCCCCAAGTGAATGTTTAAGCCACTTTACTATGAAACGACTCAATCTCAAATCTCATATTTGCTGTTTACCTGCATACACTTTCTGCATCTCTTGAAGCTGCTTTGCAACCCATCTCCACTCAGCTTCTGTTTTCATGCTCTGTATAACCTAATCAGTCCCTGTTGGCATTGATGGCTGCTCTGTTATGGGCTCTTGCTCCTGCTCTGCCAGAACAGAGCCACACTGCCTGATATCAATTACAGCAGATGGAAATAAGAGTCTTCTTTTGACTATAGCGGCTAGTAGTCTTTTCACAGAGGCAGTAAGCTGGAAGACACTGTAGCACTCTGGACTAGAAAATAAGAACAGGAAAGAAATTGCAAACCTGATGCAATGCATAGCTGAGCAGCACTACGGCATAGTAGTAAACTGGGAAGGCTCCTTCTTGTTTTACGCTCGGAGTCCACCACACTAGCAGAGCAAACTCCAATCCGATAAGCAGCCTGCAGCATAGAACAAGATCGTTTTAGCTTTCTGTTTACTGAATGTGTGCGTAGTGTGTGCAGAATGTGTTACAACCTAAATGGGAAGGCCTTGTAGAAGATGTCCAGAGGTCTGGGCCCTGCTGTGTATCTACTGATGACCACTGGTAGGAAGATCTGGAGAGGTACCATGGGCACTGCTAGCAATGCTAGCTGCTCTTTGGGAACTCCAGCCTCCATCAGCTTCAGACCTGTAACCGCATCTGCTGCAGAGAAACCCATCTGAAACACAAAGAGAGTGGAAAAAATTACATTTCCACCTGGCAAATATCCAAAAGTGACACCTTCATGTATCCAATAGTGACCAAGTACCTTAGCAGTGAGAAGCAGGAGACAAAAGGTAAAGACTGTTGGCATCTTGATGATGGATAATAGCAACTTGTAGGTTTCCATGACACCCTGTGTTTCCTCCGGGGTGGTAGTCGTTCTTCTGCCACGTACATTTTCCCTTTTAAAGATGGCAAGCAGAGTGGTGGAAATCAGGAATACCACACCCCAAAAGAACAAAAAATCTGCACCGGAGGAAACAAAAGACCAAAACTGCTGTTTATTCACCAACAGAAATATATTTGACTTTTTTTTTTTGAGGTTATGGATAGAAAGTACCTGACAAGGTAACAATGCCGGTGTCTTTGGGCACTATTCTGAGGTATCTGTTGCAGAAGTCAGGAGACTCCAGAGCCAGAAAGAGCACATTTCCCAGGAAGTAGCCAGCTGTCTGGCCTACAGAGTTGCATGTAGATGCATAGCCCACATTTTCTCTGGATAACATAGTCAGTGCCCAGCCATCCACAGCTATATCCTTAAATAACAAGGAGGTAAAGAAAGGAAACGCCTTTTATTTATCAATCTAAATAGCTGTCTGTATCATGGTGTTTAAAGAAGCTTACCTGTGTGGCTGCCAGGAAGGCAAGCATGAAGAAGACCGCAGTAAGCGTAACCACATCTGGTCCTCCCTTACTCTGCAGCAGTGAATCAACCTTTGCAGAAAGGTAGAGCATGAAGAGGCCCAAGAGGTACTGTGTGGGCACCAGCCATGATTTTCTGCAGAAACATGAGGAAGACATAATTAGGAGAAGGATGCGCAGTCTAGAGATATCAAGTGTAATAACATGGATACAGATTAAAACATCAGGGTAATCAGCATCCAGATGTCTTTCTTACCTCCTACCAAACCTACTGAAGTACAGAGCGTCCACCAGGGGTGCCCACAAAAGCTTGAGACTAAATGGCCAGAAGACAAAGCTGAAGAAGGCTTGGTCTTTGTAGCTGACATTCTTACTCTGCAAAATCAGAGGGATGCTTCCACCTAGTCCAAGAGGAATCCCCTGCAGCACATAGAGAAATAGAAGCAGCGACACATTCCCTAGCTCGCCGCGTATCCCAGACCTGCGAGGCGACCCTCGCAGCAGAAGAGAACCCTGCTCTCTTTCATCTTCTATCCCCGGCTCAGAGAAGTCACTCTCCATGTCGTTCATGTTTTCAGGTGGGAGGGTGCCACCCACCTGCTTCCTCTGCCTCCCGTTCATGTGTCTGATTAAATTTGAGGACTCCATGATGGATTAGTGGGCCTCAACCCTCCAGTCCTATCAGCAAATCTTCAAAAAGGAGATGAGTGAAAACAACTGATAGAACTAAACCGATTTTTAGTTGAGAGATTTTTAGTTGAAGCTGCTATAAATGCCTTCAATCATTTAGTTTGTACAATGACAGCATTATGGGAAGCAGAATCATGCTGATCAAAGCAGATAGGTTTATATCATTTTAATATGCAATGGAGCAGCAGTGAAAAGGTGCAGTGAGCAACAAACAGTGAAATGGGGAATTCACTGGACTGAACAATTCTGATGAAGACGAGAAAGTGAGTTTGTGAAAAACGCTGCATGCACATGGCAACACATCAGAAAAAAGATGACCACATACCAGTGCGCCTGTGCAAATACTTTGCATTAATCATAAACTGTGGCAGTCACTCATTTTTGGGGTTGATGGTAGAACTGACGACTGCATGGAATCACAAAAAATCAAAATAAAACTAAGTTAAACCCTGATCTATGATAAATAAGAGTACAGTAAAGAGAAATAAGCCCAATGGAGATGCTAAGGTTCACTATATTCAGAGTACAATAAGACGCAGGGTCCCGCTCTCATCTGAAAACTACCAAGTGTAACAGAAAAGTAGAAATAAAACACATCAAATCAATATAAGACGTTTTCAAGTACATACAAAGCACATGTAAGTTGAAAAGGTGAAACAAATGAATTTAGATATACCTGGTGATGGCAGCATGCCAGATCATAAAACACAGGCGGTTGAATCACAGAATTAATCAACGGAAAAATCAGCTCATTCAGTTTTTTCATTCAGAGGTAAGACACATCTTCATAAAGACGAGAAAACACAAGGAAATGAAAAGCGTTTCACTTAAAACTCTCACATCGGTGGACATCAACACAGCCGAGCAAGGAAATGCGACAAGTACAGCTTACAAATGTGTCCGGCGCCTACAGCTGACGTGTCAAAATATGACTGCATGTAGTTCCGCTTCAGTGTAGTAACGTCTAAATATTGGTAAAAATACACTCAAGCGGAACTCCAGTTGGTATAATTCACATAAAGCATATTACACAAAATGTAAAGTTAACTTTAAATAAAAATCAGACCTACAAAAAATAATGAACTGTTAAGTTCTAGTTTAGTGCTGTAAATAAATGCAGTGAGTACAAATGTAAAATTAAATCGCATAATTCATATAATTATAATAATCATATCATTTCTGTCAATTTTCGGTCATTCAGCCACAGTGTTGGAGATAATGTTAAATGTTAAGAACAGGAAGTTAGTTAGTGCGTGAAGTGATAAAGTTTGCAGTTAATAAAATTAACAGTTTACATATTTTGATGTATGTCCATTTACTAGTTTTCCAGCAGTATTTTGACATATAACAGCCACAAAATACCCAATATCTCATTTACATTAAAACTACAAAACTGTATTACAAACAATTTTCTGTATTTTTAATCTTTGTTGTTTTTTTTATTTTTATTTGTCGCCCCAGCTTTTAACACTTTTTTACAGGGTTTTATTGTGTGTGTGTTTGTGGTTTGTTTTTTTGTCACAGTTTACACACAACCCTGTTTTTTCTCTTTTGTGTGTGTGTGTGTGTGTGTGTGTAGTAAACTACCGAGACTATAAACAATAAATACTTTTTGGATAAAGCTTATCTCATTTTAATCCCATCTCATTTTAATTTCATATTTCGTCTCTACCTGAATCTCTTTTGGCTGTAAACTTGTAAGAGTGAAAATTTGTTTAAAAAAAATCACCAACAAACCAAAAACAAAATTTGAACATGGGTGGGTGCTTTGTGCAATAAACTTAATTGAATCACAGTTTTTCCACAGTGTTGTGATTCTAATCATACACAGTGGTTTGGACGACTTTTCCACATGCAGCATTAGGATAGTGTTGCTGCAGTTCAACCTCTTTCAGTGTGCAGTAATTAGTAGTTTGCCTAACGATGAATGTAATGATCCATAATGCATATTAATTAAGCTGCTGTATTATTGTATGCTGCATAGCAGCCCTGGATTATGTTAACCAATTAGGAAATTTTATTCCTGCATCTTTATTGAATGCCTGTTACTACAATCACGCTTCTTCTCATTCATCTTTTAGACTGTAGGGTGAGTTGAGCTACTCCTGAACTTTGAGAATCCAGATGAAAGCACATAATAGCGATACTGTAAAATCAAAATGAAGAAGATACGGATCGAAAACTCTTCGACCACCCCACGGGTTTTAAACAGGGCTCACACTGATGTTTTCTCCTCGATCAAAAGGTCTTTTGGCGAGGGTCATGATAAACACATTACCCCACATTTAATTCAGAGAAAATGAATGACAGCATGCTTGGCCTTGTGGTTGCCATGAGTGCATGTGAAGCTGCTTATCCTCACAGATGGCATGTGACAACACACACGGGCATATTTGAGAATATCAGCATGTGATGGAGACTGTGAAGCTGCAGTTGCACTCATGTGAGAATGTCTGTGTCGGTGTAAATCTACACTGAACTGCTCTGGGGCTCCACGCTGCTAGCAGCTATGATATGTCTGAATTACTCTATTGTAACCCCATAAAATTTGACAATCAATATGCACAAATTATGTCATCTAGAGGGCTCTTGTATCAAACTATATATGAATCACCAAAAACCTGCAGACAGGGATCCTGAGCCTACTTTTACACCATATGCTGGGGTGAATTATTCAAACCATGCCAATGATTAGGATTATTTGAGCAGATTACTTTATGTCACATGAGGACTGCTACAGTGGTTACCTTATTGGTTGGTTTATATCATCTGACTGGCCTTAAAGGACACATTACAACACATTACAACAAATCTATGACTGGTATTTTCCCCTGGTCACGTTATGTTGTTCATCACATTTTCCACTGGATGGTGCTTAAATCAGCACATCTGAATATACTGTAGTAATTCTCAGATTCACGCACCTTAAAATAGTCCAACTCCCCTTCTCAGGGATATTTAATGGCTATCTCGTTTTTCACTTAACACGTGACTGACCTTGTGATCTCCAAAAACTGGCTTTTTCTTTTTTCATCAAGCCTCCAGAAATAATACTTTAAAGTGTGGCAAACTTGAAGCATTCATTGCTTCTTCTTGTTGCCAAATGACTGAGAATCCAAACTGGAGACGGAGAGATGGCTACATAGCAGCAATTTCTGCAAGCAAGTTGGGCCTGGGTGGGTGCTGGTCTTTGAAGTATGCAATAATCTATAAGTATAGAAACTGTGGCCACTGCAACATTATTATTGGCGAACTGAATGGAAACTCAATGAGTGAATGTAACTCTTAGTTTCTTCTTTAAACTGCCTGAAAAATACACGGGAACAGTTTAATGTCACCCACACCTGGAACATCTAGTACAGTAGATGTGTTTAAGTACAGCGAGTTCCTCTCACATATTTGATGCTCCTGCCTGACAGAGACTGAGGTGTTATCACTGGAGCTACCTTATATTTTAGCATATAGCGTTAAACTATTCCTGAAATTCACACTTTTGTCTGTTTTGACTGATAGACTTATTTTAAGTTCCCAAACAAACGTATAGTAAGGATAGGCTGAGGAACGAAATTTAGCTAGATGCCCAGCCCCCACGGGGGCCCTTCTCCCTTACTCTGGTTATTTAACTTTTCGCTCCACCCATGACATATTCGCGCTACATATTTACTTAGCCTGCTCCCACTATGAAAGTTATTTCCCGGCCAGAGGAGGAGAGACTGTGACATCTTCAAACCAACAGCCCAATCTGCTTTTCCAACAGTAGTCGGCGTGCTGAGCCAGGAGCTAACCAGCAGCCCTCTCTCTGTGAGACCTGGGACAGCGAGGCGAAGGGGAGAGCTCATTCCACAACACGGCAGTCATCCATGGCTCTGTGCAACGGAGACAGCAAGGTCAGTTGAGCGGGAGATACCCGGGGCTCCAGTATAAGGTAGCCCTGGTTACTTAGTGCTAGGACCCGGGTTAGTGCTGTAGTCCTCCCCCCGGTTAATTTCGGCCTCTGTGTACCTCGGGGGGGGAAAGTTAAGAGAGCATGCAACGTTATCAACAGTGCTGCTGAGGAGGAGCAGTGTGTGCCTGTTGCAGTGTTACATTAACATGTTGCTCATAGCTGCTAACAAGCCGGACGTGATAATTAATTGATGTTAAACCGTGAAAAAAAGGTTTCACTGATTTTCCCAGTAAACGGGGTTGCCCTTCTCTTATGGTGGACCCCCCAACCCCCAAGACACTTCAGCTCCAAGCACCGCGTGGGTTTTAGCATAGCTCCGCTAACCTAGCAGCTACTCACAGCACTGCTAACAGGCTAACGCTCGTTACTACTGTTTATTCCAGCGGTGCGCTAGCTCGCTACACTGATAAACTGTTAGCTAGCTGTGGCCGGGCGCTCACAGTTTGTAGTGACAGCACCGCAGAGCAAGAATGTTGTTTTACAATAGCGTCCGTGTTCTTTAAGTAACCGGAAATTGTGCTTGTGCTGAACTAATTTACCTCAAGCGGTAGCTGTCACACTCTTCGTGCTAACGTTCGTTAACTGTCAGTTTGCTAACATCGTCACGAAGCTAGTGTGTGAGCCAACTTGTGGTTTACCTGTCTAACAATTGCAGCGGCTTACAGCTGCCTTATCAGCTGATATGGTGAAGTTTGCTCTGGAACAATAGTGTTTTTTCTCTCGTGATTACTCTGCTTCGCCCATGTTATTACCGGTTGTGCTTTAAAGGTTAAAATTGGAGGTGAGGGGGGTACCCAGCAAGTTGTTTTCAGAAACATTTACGGCGGAAGTTTCCCACTGACCACGTGGGATAATGTTTGTCTAATGTGTACCCACTTCGGCTGTTTATAAAGAATAATTTACTGAATTTAATTCACTGTAGACTGGATGGCACACTTCCCACAGAGCATGCATGCGTTTAAATAAATAACATTTGCATATAGATGAGTGCTGAGGATCAGAGTTTGAACTGCTTCAAATACTGAGATCTCAGTCTTGATAATGTCTAACTTGTGAGATTCATGTGATGGGCTGAATGGTTGCAGCACATTTCACAAAATTTGCTGTCCCTCTCTGTTTCAGCTCACATGGCAACAATTATGTTAGGCTTTATTGAGTCACAGCGCTGGAGGAGAGTAAACTCAAGAAGGAATTGAGTTACCTTCTGCTGTCAGACCACTAGAAAGCTAGTCACCTCACATGCAAATCTTCACTAATCTTTCTAAATGTGTGTCCACAGCTGGAGATCAGCAGCGCAGAGCAGAATGGGTCATGTGAAGGGGCGGTGGCGATCCTCGATGCCGGGGCGCAGTACGGGAAGGTGATTGACCGAAGAGTGCGAGAGCTGTGCGTACGCTCTGAAATCCTCCCTTTAGAGACCCCGGCCTTTGCTATCAGAGAACAGGGCTTCAGGTGAGCACATAAACGCATCTCTACTTGAGATGTTTTATTTCATGCCTGTCATGTTTAAACACACTACTGTGTCAATGTAGAAGCTTTGAAGTGCTTTATAATACAGTTTTACATGATTGTTTTCTTTGTGTTTCATGCCTCAGGGCAATAATTATTTCAGGAGGTCCAGCATCTGTGTATGCGGAAGATGCCCCCTGGTTCGACCCTGCCATATTCACTATAGGAAAGCCCGTCCTTGGGATTTGCTATGGGATGCAGGTATGCACACAATAAAATAAACTGTGATTGTATTCTTAAGAAAACCAAGTCTACTTCCACAAGGTTCTTGTCAAGGAAACATTTTTTACACAGATTGCCTCTAAGTAGCAACACGTTACTGTCACTCTGCTTGAACCAGCTCCTCAGCTCTCCCACACCAGCTGGGAATTAATTCACCACCTTCTTCAAGAGTACTTTTACACTGGTGGAAGAGAAGAGTAATACTTACTCTCTTTTCCCAGTGAGACAAAAAAGTAACAAGTACATTTCTTTACATTGCAGGCAGTTTCACACTCCAGGCAGT